AGTAGGTAATCTAGTGAATGGAGCGGAGAGTAGATGATCAACTTAAAGTCTTCTTTCGATAAAAATGACCCGGTTGGTTAAAAGGGGAACACACATGCAAACGATTTAATCATAAAGGGTTGGCCACTTCAACGAAACAAACAGCAGTTATTGCTCTAAGGATAACATGTAAAAGATATGCATGGAGTAATCATATAACATCAGACTACGTAAACTGTGAAACATTGGGCTGTCTACAGATCATGTGACACGCAAAGATCTAACAGGAATCAGTGACACGACTGCAACAGTACTGTACACTGGACAGACAACAGGAAACATGAGGGTACATCTTAGACATGGAACAGATTAAGGTACAGACATTAAACATACTTCTGAAATGGAAACATACCTGTGGTTAGAGAGACAAAACATGAAAGTGATTAATCATAAAGTTAGCTAAGGTTATTTCTAGGCAGGGCGTTATAGGTAACAGTAGATGGAGGAGAGAGAACAGAGAGAGATAGAGAGAGAGAGAGACAGAGAGAGAGAGAGACAGAGGAGAGAGACAGATAGAGAAGAGAGACGAGAAGAGAGATGAAGAGGGGAGAGAGAGAGAGAGACAAAGAGGAGAGAGAGAGCAACGAGAGAGAGAGAAAAGAGACAGAGAGAGATAGAGAGACAAGAGAGAGGAGAGTCTCGTCTTGTAGAGACCGTCTCACGCAGCTCTCTCCTCTATGACTCCCCTCTACTGCTGCTCTGCTCTCTAACTCTCTCCCTCTCTCGTCGCTCTCTCTGCTACTCTCTGCTCGCCAATCCTCTCTCTCTCTCCCCTACTATCTGCTCTCTCTCCACTCTAACTTATTGCACCTCTCATATATGACCTACTCTTGCAAAACAATGTCCTTAATCAAGTTATTCTTGGTTGTACCAAAATGCGTACTTAAAATGTCTACCATTGTCCATCAGTTCGCCAGTCCCCGTCAGTACCATGACCTGATCCAGGAGACCTGATCCACCCACCTGGCTTTCTTTGAAATCATCACCTTTACCCAAGTCCAGTTTCTTCTTCTTTCAATATCAATGACTTAAAATCACACACTATATTTACCAACCAAATTTAATTTAAATTACTTTTTAAAAAAATTTTTTAAAAAGATTTAAATTTTTTTAAAAAATGGTTTCTTTTTTTTGGACCCGGGGGCCGCTAAAAACCTTTTTAAATGTGAACTGAATAATCAAATTACCCCAAAAAAAAATACAACCCCCCTTGGCTTTGCTGTCCTGGAAAACCCCGTCTGGGAAGGGTTTTCCCCCTGGATAGCTACTTTATGGCCCCCCAGAAAACAAGCCGTATCAACAATCAACCCGGGGGTAAGAACGCCCGGGACACTAGGGGCATGGAAACGACGGGAAAAGAGTCCCCCGGGAGAGGAGGGGGAAAGGTGAGGAGAGTAAAAGGGGGGGGGGGAGAAAGAGAGAGAAAAGCAAAAATAAAAAGTAGGTAGCCCGGGGAAAAGGGGGGGAGGTTCCCCTTTTTGGCCCCTTTTGGGGATTTTTTTTTTTTTCCCCCCGTTTTTTTTTTTTTTTTTTCCCCCCCCCCCCTTTTTAGGGGGAAAAAAAAAAACCCCCCCCCCCCTTAAAAATCCTTTCCCTACCCGGGTTTCCTATTTTTCTTTTTTTGGGGGGGTTTTGGGGGTTTTCCCCTTGGGGGGGGTTTTTTTTTTTCTTTGGTTTTTTTAATTTTTTTTGGGGGGAAAAATGCTAATAAAAATACTTTTTATTCATTTTCTGAATAATTTTTTAAAATTGTTACTGGTGATATTTTACTGAATCATGATTTTTATTCATGTTAAACGCTTTTAATGCCACTTTTTTTAAATCATCGGGTTCCACATATTTAAACTAAAAAAGGGAATTTCTAAAAAAATGTTGTGCTTGTGTTGTCTTAATTTTTTTGGTTTAAAATCATTTTAAGACTCAAATGTTCAAAAGGGAAAAACACAAAATCCTCTGAAAAACTTCAAAAGACTGAATGTAAAAATGAAATTTAACCCCCCGACCACAACCCATAACACACACAGAAAATTTTTTTTTTGTTTTTACCAGCTTTTTTCCCAATTACGTAATCCATTGCACCCCTTTCCTCTCGCGCAACACCCCCCAAGGGGCTGGGGAGGGGCAAAGGTCGAGCCCTGTTTTCCCGGAAAACCATTCAACTGACACTGAAGTCACCTGCAGTGTCCGGCCCACCACAAAGGGGTCCTAAGCGCATGGGCCAAGTAAAACCAAAACCCCGCCAAAACCCCCCCCCCTAAACCCCGGGTGACGTGGCCAAATTTTGGGGCACCTATGGGACACCCGGGCCCCACCCTTTAAAACAAACAGCCTTAGACCGCTGCGCCACTCGGAGGCCTAGTAAAATTCCTTTCTATAATTTTTATGATTATTATCTGATTATATATAGAAATGTTTGCCCGAGTCTGGTAATAGGGGTTCTGCTTCCCAAATACCCCATATAGGCCTTTTTCTGACCAGGGGTCATGATTAGTGTGACGCCAGGGGCCCAAAATTTCCCGTGGGACAATTTTCAAAATTTTTTGCCCTTTAAGGGGAAATTTTGCCCAAAGCCCTTTGGGAAACAGACCTTGTTTTCCCCGTCCCGCCGGGGGGGTACGGCAAATAACTGTTTAAAAAGGGAGTACTTACTGTTAAAAAGGGGAGTAAATTACTGTTTAAAAACCCATCCGAAAAAAAGATGCAAAATCATTCCACAGTGGGTGTAGGGGACCAAAAAACGCCTCCTTGGAAAGAAACCCCATACCCCCAGAAAGATCTATAGGGGGGGGGGGGGGAGTTTTTAATTTTTTGGGGCGGGGGGCCCTTAAAAACCCCCCCCAGAGCCCAAAAAGAGAGAGGAGAGAAAAGATAGAGATGAGACAGAGAGATAAAAGAAGGACAGAGAACAAAGAAGAGGAGAGAGGACATAGAGCAAAAAGAGAAGAGAGAAGAGCCAGAGAGAAGAGAGAGATAGAAAAGGAAAAAGTAGAGAGAGAAAGGAGAGAAAAGAAGGGGGGAGATACGGGGATAAAAGAAGAGAGAGAGACCCAGAAGGGGAGAAGAAAAAAAGATAGAACCAAAAGAGGGGAAAGAGAGAGATAGAGAGAGAGATAAGAGGGGGGGGAAAAGATAAAAGGGGAAGGGACAGAACAGAGCAGAGGACAGACGACGCAGCAGGCAACAGGGAGTACAGAAAAGACAGACGGCAGGCAAACAGGCAGACCGACCGGCAAACCCGGCAGACAACAGAAGACGACCCGACAGACGACCCAAAAGACAACAGAAAAAGAAAAAAGAAAAAACCAAAAACCGATATACATTTATTTTTTGGACAAATCAATTTATGTATCTGAAAAAATGTCAGAGAGAGAGAGAGAGAGGGAGGGAAATAACGGGGGCTTTAAAGGGCCCAACCAATAAAAAAGTGATAAAACCCAATTAAAATACTTATGGCCTAGCCAATTTAAAAAAATTTATAAAGGGCCCGCCAATGAAATCCATGAATGTGGCTTTAATGAAACTACTGTAGCTATTTTCACATTGATCCAACTCCGCCAGGCGTTACAGGCGCGTCTAAATGATCTTGTGAGCTAGAGAGGCCCTGAATGGATGGCTTGGGTCAGGGGAAAGAGCCAAGGGTGAGTCACATGTCTAGCTTTGTGTGTGTATTCCCTGTAGATCCTCAATAAGACTCCACTGCCCCTCACATCACATGGCCCTCATGTGACTAGGTTCAGAAACATTCCTGGGATCTTTATTCCCTCCTCCCCCTCCTCTCTCCACTTCCTGGGTTTCTATATATCTTTATTCCCTCCTCTCCTCTCCTCTCCTCTCTCTCTAGTCTTCCTGGGTTTCTATATATCTTTATTCCCCCCTCCTCTCCTCTCCTCTCTCTCTAGTCTTCCCGGTTTCTATTTTATCTTTATTCCCCTCTCTCCCTCTCCTTCTTTTCTAGTCTTCCTGGGTTTCTATATATCTTTATTCCCTCCCTCCCTCTCCTCTCTCTCTAGTCTTCCTGGGTTTCTATATATCTTTATTCCCTCCCTCCTCTCCTCTCCTCTCTCTCTAGTCTTCCTGGGTTTCTATATATCTTTATTCCCTCCTCCTCTCCTCTCCTCTCCTCTTCTTAGTCTTCCTGGGTTTCTATATATCTTTATTCCCTCCTCCTCTCCTCTCTCTCTCTCTCTAGGGCTTCCTGGGTTCTATATATCTTTATTCCCTCCCCCTCTTTCCTCCTCTCTTTCCCTCTCTATTTTTCCTGGGTTTCTATATATCTTTATTCCCTCCTCCTCTCCTCTCCTCTCTCTCTAGTCTTCCTGGGTTTCTATATATCTTTATTCCCTCCTCTCCTCTCCTCCCTTCTCTCTAGTCTTCCTGGGTTTCTATATATCTTTATTCCCTCCTCCTCTCCTATTCTCTCTAGTCTTCCTGGGTTTCTATAATATTATTCCCTTTCCCCTCCTCTCCTCTCTCTCTAGTCTTCCTGGGTTTCTATATATCTTTATTCCCTCCTCCTCTCCTCTCCTCTCCTCTCTTCTGTCTTTTGGTTCTATATATCTTTATTCCCTCCTCTCCTCTCCTCTCTCTCTAGTTTCCTGGGTTTTAAAATATCTTTATTCCTCCTCCTCTCCCCTCCTCTCTTCCCCTATCTTCCTGGGTTTCTATATATATTTTATTCCCTCATCTCTCTCCTCTCCCCTTCTCCTTGTCTCCTGGGTTTCTATATATCTTTAATTTCCTCCTCCCCTCCTCTCCCTCTCTCTAGTCCCTTCCTGGGTTTCTATATAATCTTTTTTTCCCTCTCTCCTCTCCCTTCTCTCTAGTCTTCCTGGGGTTTCTATATATCTTTATTTCCCCCCTCCCCTCCTTCCTCTCTCTCTAAGTCTTCCTGGGTTCTTAATATTTATTCCCTCCCTCGCGTTTTATTTTTTCTGCTGGCCTCTGAGTTTCCTTTCTAATTAAGGGGTGATGCCTCCCGCTCCGCTTGCGGTCTCCTCTAGATCCAGGGTTTTCCAAACCTGTCCCCGGGACCCAAGGGGTGCCCTGGGGTCCCGAGGGGCCCTGAAGTTTGGGAAAACGCTGCCTCCTCTACTCGCTGGTTGCAAATCTTGAAGCCCCTCGCTGCTTGAGTGGCCTAGTGGAAGCGGGTAAACTCCAAACCCCGCCACCGGCGTTTGATGGTCTTGGGCAAACGGTCCCGCCTTTCCCGTTTGAAGTTTGGGAAACTTACTCCCTTTTTTCCTGAGGGCCTTTGCTTTACTTTTAATCCGGGGTCCCTCCCTCAAAAAAGCCGGCCTTGTTCCGGCAAAATACAATTCCCCTCCCCTCTCGCCCCGTTTCCCTTATTCGTTCTTATTACATTCCTCCCCCGGCCCCTCACTTTTCAACCCCTTTTCATATAACATACCCCTCCTCTCTTTTTTTTCTCGATCTTGGCTGGGTTCAATAACCCCGACTTCCCCTGTTTGCGTTAGTGTAAGGCGAATTCATTTCATGTTGCTCATCAATTTGAGTTTGATTAGGGGTTAGTTGAAGGTTGCTACTAGCTGAATAAAAGCTGTATTATAGTTTATTTAAAGCTTTATTAGAGACCCAGGGTGCCCCCAGCTCATAGAGACCTGGTCTGTAGAGGTGTTGTTGTCATGGAGAGCCAGACCAGAAGGGGCTGTGGCAGAGTCCTCGTTACCCTAGACACCAAGACGCATAACGGACCAACAACCTTAACAACACACCAGGGTACTGCTACTCTAGGTAGGCTGTGTCCCAAATGCCACCCTATGGGTCCTGGTCTAAAGTAGTGCACTATATAGGGAATAGGGTGCCATTCTCTGGTCTAAAGTAGTGCACTATATGGGGAATAGGGTGCCATTCTCTGGTCTAAAGTAGTGCACTATATAGGGAATAGGGTGCCATTCTCTGGTCTAAAGTAGTGCACTATATAGGGAATAGGGTGCCATTCTCTGGTGTAAAGTAGTGCACTATATAGGGAATAGGGTGCCATTCTCTGGTCTAAAGTAGTGCACTATATAGGGAATAGGGTGCCATTCTCTGGTCTAAAGTAGTGCACTATATAGGGAATAGGGGTGCCATTCTCTGGTGTAAAGTAGTGCACTATATAGGGAATAGGGTGCCATTCTCTGGTCTAAAGTAGTGCACTATATAGGGAATAGGGTGCCATTCTCTGGTCTAAAGTAGTGCACTATATAGGGAATAGGGTGCCATTCTCTGGTGTAAAGTAGTGCACTATATAGGGAATAGGGTGCCATTCTCTGGTCTAAAGTAGTGCACTATATAGGGAATAGGGTGCCATTCTCTGGTGTAAAGTAGTGCACTATATAGGGAATAGGGTGCCATTCTCTGGTCTAAAGTAGTGTACTATATAGGGGAATAGGGTGCCATTCTCTGGTCTAAAGTAGTGCACTATATAGGGAATAGGGGTGCCATTCTCTGGTCTAAAGTAGTGCACCATATAGGGAATAGGGTGCCATTCTCTGGTCTAAAGTAGTGCACTATATAGGGAATAGGGTGCCATTCTCTGGTCTAAAGTAGTGCACTATATAGGGAATAGGGTGCCATTCTCTGGTCTAAAGTAGTGCACTATATAGGGAATAGGGTGCCATTCTCTGGTCTAAAGTAGTAGCACTATATAGGGAATAGGGTGCCATTCTCTGGTCTAAAGTAGTGCACTATATAGGGAATGGGTGCCATTTCGGTCTAAGTAGTACACTATATAGGGAATAGGTGCCATTCTCTGGTCTAAAGTAGTGCACTATATAGGGATAGGGTGCCATTCTGGTCTAAAGTAGTACAACACTATAGGGAATAGGGTGCCATTCTCTGTCTAAAGTAGTGCACTATATAGGGAATAGGGTGCCATTTGGGACGCGTTCCTACTGCATGTATCACTACAACGACCTGCTACCAACGTACCAACTACCCTACAGTAGAAGGGACTGCAACAGGGGGTGCTACACTTTAAGCATTCACTCACACACACACACACACAACCACACCACACAACACACACACACACAACCAACACACACAACCAACACACACACACACACCGAACCGCCAGTGCTCGACTTGGGCCGGAGCTGTCCAGAGCGCCATAGTCTCCTTTATAAAACGAAGTGGCTATCACCGGCCAGGATTCACACACTGCGGCAAAAAAAGGTTGATCAAAGTGGAATGAAGGCGGGATCTGTATTGAATAGCGTGCATTCATATCATGTTCAAGCTTATCTAGTCTGTGGATCCAGTGTATGCAGTATCTAGTCTGTGGATCCAGTGTATGCAGTATCTAGTCTGTGGATCCAGTGTATGCAGTATCTAGTCTGTGGATCCAGTGTATGCAGTATCTAGTCTGTGGATCCAGTGTATGCAGTATCTAGTCTGTGGATCCAGTGTATGCAGTATCTAGTCTGTGGATCCAGTGTATGCAGTATCTAGTCTGTGGATCCAGTGTATGCAGTATCTAGTCTGTGGATCCAGTGTATGCAGTATCTAGTCTGTGGATCCAGTGTATGCAGTATCTAGTCTGTGGATCCAGTGTATGCAGTATCTAGTCTGTGGATCCAGTTGTATGCAGTATCTAGTCTGTGGATCCAGTGTATGCAGTATCTAGTCTGTGGATCCAGTGTATGCAGTATCTAGTCTGTGGATCCAGTGTATGCAGTATCTAGTCTGTGGATCCAGTGTATGCACACCAGTAGACGGTTGGAGATTGAGACATTTCAGCAGCAGGTATTCTATAAAACAATGATAGGCTAACTAAATAGCTAATTCAAAACGTAACTAGAATTGCTACAGGCTATCTCGCTAGTGAACGGTTTAGCTAGCCATGCTACATGCTATCTCGCTAGTGAACGGTTTAGCTAGCCATGCAACAGGCTATCTCGCTAGTGAACGGTTTAGCTAGCCATGCAACATGCTATCTCGCTAGTGAACGGTTTAGCTAGCCTTGCAACATGCTATCTCGCTAGTTGAACGGTTTAGCTATAGACCTAAGAATTAATGTCGTTGACTCACTGTCGCCTTTACACCGGCATTGCTGACAAATACATCTGACACTGTTATTGGAAAGCTGGGATTCCCTTCTGTTAATCAGTAGGCGGAAAAACTGAAAAACTGATAAAATATTCTAAGAATAGCCTATTTGACAAATAGCTTCCATGCTGAGCATAGATCTCCCGAGAGATATGAATATTCTAGCCTTATAAGGTTATAGATAAACATGTCTTAGTTAGCTACCTTGCTTTGAAGTAGTCTGCCTTATCCATGTTATCCCTGATTCATTGAATGAGGGAATAATTCTATAAAAACAGGAGTGGGACAAAATCCCTCCTGAGATGTGTGCAAACCTGGTGGCCAACTACAAGAAACGTCTGACCTCTGTGATTGCCAACAAGGGTTTTGCCACCAAGTACTATGTCATGTTTTGCAGAGGGGTGAAATACTTATTTCCCTCATTAAAATTCAAATCAACTTATAACATTTTTGACATGCGTTTTTCTGGATTTTTTTGTTGTTATTCTGTCTCTCACTGTTCAAATAAACCTACCATTAAAATTATACATTTTTACATTTACATTTTAGTCATTTAGCAGACGCTCTTGTCCAGAGCGACTTACAGTTAGTGAATACATTTTTTTTTTTTATACTGTCCCCCCGTGGGAAACGAACCCACAACCCTGGCGTTGCAAACGCCATGCTCTATCAACTGAGCTACATCCCTGCCGGCCATTCCCTCCCCTACCCTGGACGACGCTGGGCCAATTGTGCGCCGCCCATGAGTCTCCCGGTCGCGGCCGGCTGCGACAGAGCCTGGATTCGAACCAGGATCTCTAGTGGCACAGTTAGCACTGCGATGCAGTGCCTTAGACCACTGCGCCACTCAGGAGTATATAGACTGATAGACTGATCATTTCTTTGTCAGTGGGCAAACGTACAAAATCAGCAGGGGATCAAATACTTTTTTCCCCTCACTGTAGGATACATAGAGATGCCACCAATTATTGGTCATGGAAATTTGGTTAAAAGTCATGATAAGTCATGGAAAAGTCATGAAATTCCATCTCTCAAAATGTGTATGAACCCTTAACAGTGAATAATCAGAGGTCTGTCTCTACAGCATATCGTCATTTGGGAATTTCAGTGAAAGGACCAACTTGAAAAAAGACAGCTCCTCTTTCACCCGAAGTCAAGCACTGAGAACCACACAGACAGTCTCTGACTTATTAGCCTGGTCCCAGATCTGAGAACCACACAGACAGTCTGACTTATTAGCCTGGTCCCAGATCTGAGAACCACACAGACAGTCTCTGACTTATTAGCCTGGTCCCAGATCTGTTTGTGCTGTCTTGTCAAACTCCTATGATCACTGTCGTTGGCAAGACTGCACAACACATTCATTAAGCGTCTCAGTGCAGGAGTCCTGATTTAGGATCAGTTTAGCCTTTTTGACTATAAGGAATGGACAAGGGAGACCTGATCCTAGACAAGCACTACCACTCGGAGACACTTTATGAATACAGGCTCTGCGACCGGCTAGTCTCTGATAGGCCAGAAGGTGCTGACTGCTGCTCAGAGGGCACACTGATTGGCCACATACCAGGAAGGCGTTTCCACAGTGGCCACAGACCACCCTCGTGCCCTCAGGCTGGACTGGCAGGGCTGGCTGGGCCGGCTGCTCCTCTGGAATCACCATCACTGGGCTCAGGTTGATGATGCGTCTGCTGTGGGGGTGGGGCACACAGAGGGGGAGGGGTTACCATACAGTAGTGATATTTCCCAGGTAAGTGGCACTATTGTCAGTCGGTTACTGATTGTCAGTTTGTTTTTGGATTCATGGTCTAGAACATTCTATTATGCAATAACACCCACCAGGTTTGTACTTATCCTCTTTCTAAGAACATCCGCTCCCCTCCAGGAACAATCAAGGACTTACCTACTGGACACTAGACCAGCAAGGACGTACCTACTGGACTCTAGACCAGCAAGGACGTACCTACTGGACCAGAAACCCTGTGTGCAGTGTATGCATTCCTGGGGCTGCAGTGGACAGAGAGAGAGCTGCCTGCTGTGAACTCTGACCTACTAGTTAGGTCTGGGGTGGGGCATCCTATACCTACCAGTTGGGTCTGGGGCGGGACATCCTATCGCCTACCAGTTGGGTCTGGGGTGGGACATCCTATCACCTACCAGTTGGGTCTGGGGCATCCTATCACCTACCAGTTGGGTCTGGGGTGGGACATCCTATCACCTACCAGTTGGGTCTGGGGTGGGACATCCTATCACCTACCAGTTGGGTCTGGGGCATCCTATCACCTACCAGTTGGGTCTGGGGCATCCTATCACCTACCAGTTGGGTCTGGGGTGGGACATCCTATCACCTACCAGTTGGGTCTGGGGTGGGGCATCCTATCACCTACCAGTTGGGTCTGGGGCATCCTATCACCTACCAGTTGGGTCTGGGGTGGGACATCCTATCACCTACCAGTTGGGTCTGGGGTGGGACATCCTATCGCCTACCAGTTGGGTCTGGGGTGGGACATCCTATCACCTACCAGTTGGGTCTGGGGTGGGGCATCCTATCACCTACCAGTTGGGTCTGGGGTGGGACATCCTATCACCTACCAGTTGGGTCTGGGGCATCCTATCACCTACCAGTTGGGTCTGGGACATCCTATCACCTACCAGTTGGGTCTGGGGTGGGGCATCCTATCACCTACCAGTTGGGTCTGGGACATCCTATCACCTACCAGTTGGGTCTGGGGTGGGGCATCATATCACCTACCAGTTGGGTCTGGGGCATCCTATCACCTACCAGTTGGGTCTGGGGTGGGACATCCTATCACCTACCAGTTGGGTCTGGGGTGGGGCATCCTATCACCTACCAGTTGGGTCTGGGGTGGGGCATCCTATCACCTACCAGTTGGGTCTGGGGTGGGACATCCTATCACCTACCAGTTGGGTCTGGGGTGGGGCATCCTATCACCTACCAGTTGGGTCTGGGGTGGGACATCCTATCACCTACCAGTTGGGTCTGGGGCATCCTATCACCTACCAGTTGGGTCTGGGACATCCTATCACCTACCAGTTGGGTCTGGGGTGGGGCATCCTATCACCTACCAGTTGGGTCTGGGGCATCCTATCACCTACCAGTTGGGTCTGGGGCATCCTATCACCTACCAGTTGGGTCTGGGGTGGGACATCCTATCACCTACCAGTTGGGTCTGGGGTGGGGCATCCTATCACCTACCAGTTGGGTCTGGGGTGGGACATCCTATCACCTACCAGTTGGGTCTGGGGTGGGGCATCCTATCACCTACCAGTTGGGTCTGGGGTGGGACATCCTATCACCTACCAGTTGGGTCTGGGGCATCCTATCACCTACCAGTTGGGTCTGGGACATCCTATCACCTACCAGTTGGGTCTGGGGTGGGGCATCCTATCACCTACCAGTTGGGTCTGGGACATCCTATCACCTACCAGTTGGGTCTGGGGTGGGGCATCCTATCACCTACCAGTTGGGTCTGGGGCATCCTATCACCTACCAGTTGGGTCTGGGGCATCCTATCACCTACCAGTTGGGTCTGGGGTGGGACATCCTATCACCTACCAGTTGGGTCTGGGGTGGGGCATCCTATCACCTACCAGTTGGGTCTGGGGTGGGACATCCTATCACCTACCAGTTGGGTCTGGGGTGGGGCATCCTATCACCTACCAGTTGGGTCTGGGGGTGGGACATCCTATCAACCTACCAGTTGGGTCTGGGGTGGGGCATCCTATCACCTACCAGTTGGGTCTGGGGTGGGACATCCTATCACCTACCAGTTGGGTCTGGGGCATCCTATCACCTACCAGTTGGGTCTGGGACATCCTATCACCTACCAGTTGGGTCTGGGGTGGGGCATCCTATCACCTACCAGTTGGGTCTGGGGTGGGGCATCCTATCACCTACCAGTTGGTTCTGGGGCATCCTATCACCTACCAGTTGGGTCTGGGGCATCCTATCACCTACCAGTTGGGTCTGGGGTGGGGCATCCTATCACCTACCAGTTGGGTCTGGGGTGGGGCATCCTATCACCTACCAGTTGGGTCTGGGGTGGGGCATCCTATCACCTACCAGTTGGGTCTGGGGTGGGGCATCCTATCACTTACCAGTTGGGTCTGGGGTGGGACATCCTATCACCTACCAGTTGGGTCTGGGGTGGGACATCCTATCACCTACCAGTTGGGTCTGGGACATCCTATCACCTACCAGTTGGGTCTGGGGTGGGGCATCCTATCACCTACCAGTTGGGTCTGGGGTGGGGCATCCTATCACCTACCAGTTGGGTCTGGGGTGGGACATCCTATCACCTACCAGTTGGGTCTGGGGTGGGGCATCCTATCACCTACCAGTTGGGTCTGGGGTGGGGCATCCTATCACCTACCAGTTGGGTCTGGGACATCCTATCACCTACCAGTTGGGTCTGGGGTGGGGCATCCTATCACCTACCAGTTGGGTCTGGGGTGGGGCATCCTATCACCTACCAGTTGGGTCTGGGACATCCTATCACCTACCAGTTGGGTCTGGGGTGGGGCATCCTATCACCTACCAGTTGGGTCTGGGGCATCCTATCACCTACCAGTTGGGTCTGGGACATCCTATCACCTACCAGTTGGGTCTGGGGTGGGGCATCCTATCACCTACCAGTTGGGTCTGGGACATCCTATCACCTACCAGTTGGGTCTGGGACATCCTATCACCTACCAGTTGGGTCTGGGGTGGGGCATCCTATCACCTACCAGTTGGGTCTGGGACATCCTATCACCTACCAGTTGGGTCTGGGGTGGGGCATCCTATCACCTACCAGTTGGGTCTGGGGTGGGGCATCCTATCGCCTACCAGTTGGGTCTGGGGTGGGACATCCTATCACCTACCAGTTGGGTCTGGGGCATCCTATCACCTACCAGTTGGGTCTGGGACATCCTATCACCTACCAGTTGGGTCTGGGGTGGGACATCCTATCACCTACCAGTTGGGTCTGGGGCATCCTATCACCTACCAGTTGGGTCTGGGACATCCTATCACCTACCAGTTGGGTCTGGGGCATCCTATCACCTACCAGTTGGGTCTGGGGCATCCTATCACCTACCAGTTGGGTCTGGGGTGGGGCATCCTATCACCTACCAGTTGGGTCTGGGGCATCCTATCACCTACCAGTTGGGTCTGGGACATCCTATCACCTACCAGTTGGGTCTGGGGCATCCTATCACCTACCAGTTGGGTCTGGGGTGGGGCATCCTATCACCTACCAGTTGGGTCTGGGGCATCTATCACCTACCAGTTGGGTCTGGGACATCCTATCACCTACCAGTTGGGTCTGGGGCATCCTATCACCTACCAGTTGGGTCTGGGGTGGGGCATCCTATCACCTACCAGTTGGGTCTGGGGTGGGGCATCCTATCACCTACCAGTTGGGTCTGGGGTGGGGCATCCTATCACCTACCAGTTGGGTCTGGGGTGGGACATCCTATCACCTACCAGTTGGGTCTGGGACATCCTATCACCTACCAGTTGGGTCTGGGGTGGGGCATCCTATCACCTACCAGTTGGGTCTGGGGCATCCTATCACCTACCAGTTGGGTCTGGGGTGGGGCATCCTATCACCTACCAGTTGGGTCTGGGACATCCTATCACCTACCAGTTGGGTCTGGGGTGGGACATCCTATCACCTACCAGTTGGGTCTGGGACATCCTATCACCTACCAGTTGGGTCTGGGGTGGGGCATCCTATCACCTACCAGTTGGGTCTGGGGTGGGGCATCCTATCACCTACCAGTTGGGTCTGGGGCATCCTATCACCTACCAGTTGGGTCTGGGGTGGGACATCCTATCACCTACCAGTTGGGTCTGGGGTGGGGCATCCTATCACCTACCAGTTGGGTCTGGGGTGGGACATCCTATCACCTACCAGTTGGGTCTGGGACATCCTATCACCTACCAGTTGGGTCTGGGGTGGGGCATCCTATCACCTACCAGTTGGGTCTGGGTTGGGGCATCCTATCACCTACCAGTTGGGTCTGGGGCATCCTATCACCTACCAGTTGGGTCTGGGGCATCCTATCACCTACCAGTTGGGTCTGGGGTGGGGCATCCTATCACCTACCAGTTGGGTCTGGTCTGGGGCATCCTATCACCTACCAGTTGGGTCTGGGGTGGGGCATCCTATCACCTACCAGTTGGGTCTGGGGCATCTATCACCTACCAGTTGGGTCTGGGGTGGGACATCCTATCACCTACCAGTTGGGTCTGGGACATCCTATCACCTACCAGTTGGGTCTGGGGTGGGACATCCTATCACCTACCAGTTGGGTCTGGGACATCCTATCACCTACCAGTTGGGGTCTGGGGTGGGGCATCCTATCACCTACCAGTTGGGTCTGGGGTGGGGCATCCTATCACCTACCAGTTGGGTCTGGGGTGGGGCATCCTATCACCTACCAGTTGGGTCTGGGGTGGGACATCCTATCACCTACCAGTTGGGTCTGGGGTGGGGCATCCTATCACCTACCAGTTGGGTCTGGGGTGGGGCATCCTATCACCTACCAGTTGGGTCTGGGGTGGGACATCCTATCACCTACCAGTTGGGTCTGGGGTGGGGCATCCTATCACCTACCAGTTGGGTCTGGGGTGGGGCATCCTATCACCTACCAGTTGGGTCTGGGGTGGGACATCCTATCACCTACCAGTTGGGTCTGGGGTGGGGCATCCTATCACCTACCAGTTGGGTCTGGGACATCCTATCACCTACCAGTTGGGTCTGGGACATCCTATCCTCCTAGATGAGTCTTTGCAGATGAGGAGACAGTTGCAGGGACACCGTACATACTTCTTCCCAGTCGGTGGGTTTTTGATGGGCTGAAATAAAAATGTGTAATTACTTTTAAATCCATTTTAAACCACTTTTAACCACTTTTGTTATTTAATCCTCTATGTACACAGACTACTGATGTATCTCTAACATCTGGTTCTTATTTAAATTACACAGTAACATCACGTAATAAAACAAAATCACAATAACACTCTTATTCACGGGGGGGGGGGGGGGACTGGTCACAATATACATTGGGGACACATCCAATTACAATCCGATTAGTCCGTAATTTTGCTGAGTCATGGCTATGGATTCAAGTATATCAACCCCTTCTGGTTGAGTTTAGACAGAGCATGTATCAACCCCTTCTGGTTGAGTCTAGACAGAGCATGTATCAACCCCTTCTGGTTGAGTCTAGACAGAGCATGTATCAACCCCTTCTGGTTGAGTCTAGACAGAGCATGTATCAACCCCTTCTGGTTGAGTCGACAGAGCATGTATCAACCCCTTCTGGTTGAGTCGACAGAGCATGGCACGGCAGTACAGGACTGATACTAATACCCTCTTATAGAGGTCAGCCCCGGCCACGCATGGGCCGACTGACGGACTGTTTGATCCTTCTCAGCTGAGACGACCAAGGCATTGGGAAACCACTGGCTTTCAGGTACCGTGATTCCGTAGGTCTACACTGTAAGTAGAATAAGGAACAAATCTTTATAGCCGAGTGAAACCAGACTGACCACTGCAGTCACATTTGTTTCACTTCACTTGGGGTACGTGAAACAGAATTTGAGCTCGGAAGATCTCGCTGGTTTAACGAGGATACAATCTTTACTCCACTTGTGTAATAACAAAAAAACAGCTAAACTCCATGACTATGCAATTGCAGAGTAGTTACTACATTTGTATGTAATGACATGTTAATAACATGTTACTAGTGTTATTACACTGTTACGACACAGGACTAAGAATAACTCCATTTGAAGCTAAGCTAAGACTTATGAATGTGTATTTACAATGTAGTTGGATCAAACTTTACTGAGCCATAAAAATACACCAGAAAGGCCCAATGGAATGTGATTAGATTCAGATCCATGGAGGAGCGCAGTATGTGACGGTCATTGACAAGGACCATTACCCACATCCATTTAATATGACATGTCACACCCAGCTCATCCAAACAGCACCCTATTGCCTACATAGTGTACTACTTTTGACCAGAGCCCTATGGGCATTGTGAACTGAACAGTGGACCGGATAGGGTGTCACTTGGGATGCACACCGAGTGTCATATGTACCCAGCTCCACCGACAGACAGCCACATTAGCTCCCTGTCATTCAGACTGTGTGAGTCCACTGTAGGCTCATAGAACAGCCATCGCGGTGGAGACTGAAGGATATCTAGTGTCTAGTTAGAATCCTCCCCTAGCCTCTGATCTGCTGGTGACATCACTACAGCGTGGGTGTCCTGGAGTAATGGATTATAATACATTTACATTTACATTTTAGTCATTTAGCAGACGCTCTTATCCAGAGCGACTTACATGAGCAATTAGGGTTAAGTGCCTTGCACATCGGCAGATTTTTCACCTAGTCGGCTCGGGGATTAGAACCAGCGACCTTTCGGTTACTGGCACAACGCTCTTAACCACTAAGCTACCTGCCGCCCCATACAACACAATGGTGTGGATAACCCTGGCCTTAGGGTAGGATGATGGTAAGAGAGAGAGAGAGAGAGAGAGAGAGAGAGAGAGAGAGAGAGAGAGAGAGAGAGAGAGAGAGAGAGAGAGAGAGAGAAGAGAGAGAGAGAAGAGAGAGAGAGAGAGAGAAAGAGAGAGAGAGAGAGAGAGAGAGACTAACAATATTGGACACTTTATGGAGCACAAAGCCTTCACTCTCTCATCCTGGAATATCCAAGGCCTGAGGTCATCTGCCTTTGGCCTAAAGAGCAGGAATCTGGACTTCACCAAAGAAATCACAAATACAGACATTGTCATCCTACAAGAAACATGGTATAGAGGAGATGGACCCACTGGTTGCCCTCTAGGTTACAGAGAGCTGGTAGTCCCATCCACCAAACTACCAGGTGTGAAACAGGGAATGGACTCAGGGGGTATGCTAATTTGGTATAGAGCAGACCTAACTCACTCTATTAAATTAATCAAAACGGGAACATTTTACATTTGGCTAGAAATTCAAAAGGAAATGATCTCAACAGAGACAAATGTCCTCCTGTGTGCTACCTATATCCCCCCACTAGAATCCCCATATTTTAATGAAGGCAGCTTCTCCATCCTGGAGGGGGAAATCAATCATTTCCAGACCCAGGGACATGTACTAGTCTGTGGTGACCTAAATGCCAGAACTGGACAAGAACCTGACACCCTCAGCACACAGGGGGACAAACACCTACCTGGAGCTGACAGCATTCCCTCCCCCATATGCCCCCCTAGGCACAACTATGACAACATAACCAACAAAACGGGTCACAACTCCTGCAGCTCTGTCGCACGCTGGGTCTGTACATAGTCAATGGTAGGCTTCGAGGGGACTCCTATGGTAGGTACACCTATAGCTCATCTCTTGGCAGTAGTACTGTAGACTACTTTATCACTGACCTCAACCCAGAGTCTCTCAGACCATTCACAGTCAGCCCACTGACACCCCTATCAGACCACAGCAAAATCACAGTCTACTTGAACAGAGAAATAGTCAATCATGAGGCATCAAAGCCAAAGGAACTGAATAATATTAAGAAATGCTATTGATGAAGGAAAGTAGTGTCGAAATCTACCAAAAAACAATTAGTCAACAACAAATTCAATTCTTTTTTAGACAACTTCCTGGACAAAAGGTTCCACTGTAATAATGAAGGTGTAAACTTGGCAGTAGAAAACCTAAACAGTATATTTGACCTCTCAGCTTCCCTATCAAATCTAAAAATTTCAAACAGAAAACCAAAGAAAATTAACAATGACAAATGGTTTGATGAAGAATGCAAAAACCTAAGAAAGAAATTGAGAAACCTATCCAACCAAAAACAAAGAGACCCAGAAAACCTGAGCCTACGCCTTCACTATGGTGAAACTCTAAAACAATATACATTTACATTTTAGTCATTTAGCAGACACTCTTATCCAGAGCAACTTACAGTTAGTGAGTGCATACATTTTTCATACTGGCCCCCCGTGGGAAACGAACCCACAACCCTGGTGTTGCAAGCGCCATGCTCTACCAACTGAGCTACAGGGGATTACAATTATTGTAATGTTCTTTTTCTGCAGGGTTTGCATGATTCAGCTTAGCACACAATTAACTTTTTCAGGAGTATATGAGGTTTTTATTCGGTAGGTAATGAAATACCAATTTTAAAAAACAAAGAAATGTGATATATTTCACCTCAAAGTCATAATATAATATAATATCTGTCTATCTCCTCATTTGAATTCCATGCTGTCACAGTCACTAGCCCATTTAAGCTTAATATCCTTGTCATTTATCGCCCTCCAGGTTCCCTTGGAGAGTTCATCAATGAGCTTGACGCCTTGATAAGTTCCTTTCCTGAGGATGGCTCACCCCTCACAGTTCTGGGGGACTTCAACCTCCCTACGTCTACCTTTGACTCATTTCTCTCTGCCTCCTTCTTTCCACTCCTCTCCTCTTTTGACCTCACCCTCCCCCCCTACTCACAAGGCAGGCAATACGCTTGACCTCATCTTTACTAGATGCTGTTCTTCTACTAATCTCACTGCAACTCCACTCCAAGTCTCCGACCACTACTTTGTATCCTTTTCTCTCTCGCTCTCCTCCAACACTACTCACTCTGCCCCTACTCAAATGGTAATGCGCGTCGCAACCTTCGCTCTCTCTCTCCCGCTACGCTCTCCTCTTCCATCCTATCATCTCTTCCCTCTGCTCAATCCTTCTCCCTCCAATCTCCTGATTCTGCCTCCTCAACCCTCCTCTCCTCCCTTTCTGCATCCTTTGACTCTCTATGTCCCCTATCCTCCCGGCCGGCTCAGTCCTCCCCTCCAGCTCCGTGGCTCGATGACTCATTGCGAGCTCACAGAAGAGGGCTCCGGGCAGCCGAGCGGAAATGGAGGAAAACTAGACTCCCTGCGGACCTGGCATCTTTTCACTCCCTCCTCTCTACATTTTCTTCATCTGTTTCTGCTGCTAAAGCCACTTTCTACCACTCTAAATTCCAAGCATCTGCCTCTAACCCTAGGAAGCTCTTTGCCACCTTCTCCTCCCTGCTGAATCCTACTCCCCCTCCCCCCTCCTCCTCCCTCTCTGTGGATGACTTCGTCAACCACTTTGAAAAGAAGGTTGACGACATCCGATCCTCGTTTGTTAAGTCAAATGACACTGCTGGTCCTACTCACACTGCCCTACCCTATGCTTTGACTTCTTTCTCCCCTCTCTCTCCAGATAAAATCTTGCGACTTGTGAAGGCCGGCCGCCCAACAACCTGCCCGCTTGACCCTATCCCCTCCTCTCTTCTCCAGACCATCTCCGGTGACCTTCTCCCTTACCTCACCTCGCTGATCAACTCATCCTTGACCGCTGGCTATGTCCCTTCCGTCTTCAAGAGAGCGAGAGTTGCAGCCCTTCTCAAAAAACCAACACTCGATCCCTCTGATGTCAACAACTACAGACCAGTATCCCTTCTTTCTTTTCTTTCCAAAACTATTGAGCGTGCCGTCTTTAGCCAACTCTCTTGCTATCTCTCTCAGAATGACCTTCTTGATCCAAACCAGTCAGGTTTCAAGACTGGTCATTCAACTGAGACTGCTCTTCTCTGTGTCACGGAGGCTCTCCGCACTGCTAAAGCTAACTCTCTCTCCTCTGCTCTTGTCCTTCTAGACCTGTCTGCTGCCTTTGATACTGTGAACCATCAGATCCTCCACTCCACCCTCTCCGAGCTGGGCATCTCCGGTGCGGCTCACTCTTGGATTGCGTCCTACCTGACCGGTCGCTCCTACCAAGTGGCGTGGCGAGAAGCTGTCTCCGCACCACGTGCTCTCACCACTGGTGTCCCCCAGGGCTCAGTTCTAGGCCCTCTCCTATTCTCGCTATACACCAAGTCACTTGGCTCTGTCATATCCTCACATGGCCTCTCGTATCATTGCTACGCAGACGACACACAACTAATCTTCTCCTTTCCCCCTTCTGATAACCAGGTGGCGAATCGCATCTCTGCATGTCTGGCAGACATATCAGTATGGATGATGGATCACCACCTCAAGCTGAACCTTGGCAAGACGGAGCTGCTCTTCCTCCCGGGGAAGGACTGCCCGTTCCATGATCTCGCCATCACCGTTGACAACTCCGTTGTGTCCTCCTCCCAGAGTGCGAAGAGCCTTTGGCGTGACCCTGGACAACACCCTGTCGTTCTCCGCTAACATCAAGGCGGTGACCCGATCCTGTAGGTTCATGCTCTACAACATTCGGAGAGTACGACCCTGCCTTACACAGGAAGCGGCACAGGTCCTAATCCAGGCACTTGTCATCTCCCGTCTGGATTACTGCAACTCGCTGTTGGCTGGGCTCCCTGCCTGTGCCATTAAACCCCTACAACTCATCCAGAATGCCGCAGCCCGTCTGGTGTTCAACCTTCCCAAGTTCTCTCACGTCACCCCGCTCCTCCGCACACTCCACTGGCTTCCAGTTGAAGCTCGCATCTGCTACAAGACCATGGTGCTTGCCTACGGAGCTGTGAGGGGAACGGCACCTCCGTACCTTCAGGCTCTGATCAGTCCCTACACCCAAACGAGGGCATTGCGTTCATCCACCTCTGGCCTGCTGGCTCCCCTACCTCTGCGGAAGCAGAGTTCCCGCTCAGCCCAGTCAAAACTGTTCGCTGCTCTGGCACCCCAATGGTGGAACAAGCTCCCTCACGACGCCAGGACAGCGGTAATCCTTCTACCCCCCCCCTTACCCAACCAAAAAAAAAAAAAAAAAACATTGTAAAGTGGTTATCCCACTGGCTATAAGGTGAATGCACCAATTTGTAAGTCGCTCTGGATAAGAGCGTCTGCTAAATGACGTAAATGTAAATGTAATAATAATAATAATAATAATAATATGCCATTTAGCAGACGCTTTTATCCAAAGCGAATTACAGTCATGTGTGCATACATTTTTACGTATGGGTGGTCCCGGGGATCGAACCCACTACCCTGGCGTTACAAGCACCATGCTCTACCAATTAAACTACAGAGGACCAAAGTCATCAAATTTGCATTAAAAGCTCTCTGCGGTCCTATAGCATCGGAGATGGTCCGTAATTTAGATAATCTCCGATGCTATAAATGCTTTTGCTTTTACTACAGGCTATGGCAGTGTTTTTTGTAGTTGCATTCCACCCAATTGAAAAGTGCACATTCACTTCCATAACACAATAATACAGGATACCCTTTTAAAAAATCACTGCCGTTAAAATGCAATAAAACTGCAGTACAATGAAATAATGGTTGTTTAATTAATGGTATCTGGTAGTTTGCTGTGTGTTGGCTTATTATGTTCTTACTGTGGAATGCAGAGTTTGGTTTTCGCCAGGCATTACTGGAACCATGTCGTCCAAAAAGTAATATTTTTGAATCATCTGTCCATAGAACGTTCTTCCAAGAGTCTTGATGATCATCCAGGTGCTTTTTGGCAAACTTGAGTCAACTTTTTGGACAAGATGGGTCCCATTATGCCTGGTGAAAACCAAACACTGCATTCCACAGTAAGAACATCATACCAAAGGTCAAGCATGGTGGTGGTGGTGTGATGGTTTGGGGATGCTTTGCTGCCTCAGGACCTGGACGACTTGCCTTAATAGAAGGAACCATGAATTCTGCTCTGTATCAGAGAATTCTACAGGAGAATGTCAGACCATCCGTCTGTGAGCTGAAGCTGAAGCGCAGCTGGGTCATGCAGCAAGACAATGATCCAAAACACACTATCAAGTCTACATGAAAATTGCTAAAAAGCAACAAATTTGAAGTTTTGGAATGGCCTAGTCAAAGTCCAGACCTAATCCCAATTGAGATGTTGTGGCAGGACTTGAAACGAGCAGTTCATGCTTGAAAACCCACACGTCACTGAGTTAAAGCAGTTCTGCATGGAAGAGTGGGCAAAAGTTCTTCCACAGCGACGTGAGAGACTGATCAACAACTACAGGAAGCATTTGGTTGGAGTCATTGCAGCTAAAGGTGCACAACCAGTTATTGAGTGTAAGGGGGCAATTACTTTTTCACACAGGGGAATTGGGTGTTGCATAACTTTGTTTATGAAATAAATGAAATAAATATGTAATTGTTGTGTTATTTGTTCACTTATGTTCCCATTATCTAATATTAGGTTTTGGTTGAAGATCTGATAACATTCAGTATCACAAATATGCAAATGTAGAGACAATTAGAAAGGGGGCAAATAACCCTGCTCTGCTCGAATATGTCCATCAATCAAACATTTCTAAAAATCTCCACTCAAATATCGTGAATTCGTGAAATATCGATATTGAAGCATCCATAGACTCTAACCACTTCTGGGAAAATTGGAAAACACTAAACAAACAACACAAAGAGTTATCTATCCAAAATGGAGATGTATGGGTAAACCACTTCTCCAATCTTTTGGCCCTATAACAAAGAACAAACAGCAAAAACATATACATGATCAAATACAAATCTTAGAATCAACTATTAAATACTACCAGAACCCACTGGATTCTCAAATTACATTGAACGAACTACAGGACAAAATACAAACCTTCCAACCCAAAAAGGCCTGTGGTGTTGATGGTATCCTCAATGAAATGATAAAATATACAGACTACAAATTCCAATTTGCTATACTTAAACTCTTTAACATCATCCTTGGCTCTGGCATATTCCCCAATATTTGGAACCAAGGACTGATCACCCCAATCCACAAAAGTGGAGACAAATTTGACCCCAATAACTACCGTGGGATATGCGTCAACAGCAACCTTGGGAAAATCCTTTGCATTATCATTAACAGCAGACTGAGCAAATGTGAAATTGGCTTTTTACCAAATTACCGTACGACAGACCATGTATTCACCATGAACACACTAACTGACTAACAAACAAACCAAAACAAAGGCAAAGTTTTCTCATGCTTTGTTGATTTCAAAAAAGCTTTTGACTCAATTTGGTATGAGGGTCTGCTATACAAATTGATGGAAAGTGGTGTTGGTGGAAAAACATACGACATTATAAAATCCATGTACACAAACAACAAGTGTGCGGTTAAAATAGGCAAAAAACACACACATTTCTTTCCACAGGGCCGTGGGGTGAGACAGGGATGCAGTTTAAGCCCCACCCTCTTCAACATATATATCAACAAATTGGCGAGGGCACTAGAACAGTCTGCAGCACCCGGCCTCACCCTACTAGAATCTGAAGTCAAATGTCTACTGTTTGCTGATGATCTGGTGCTTCTGTCCCCAACCAAGGAGGGCCTACAGCAGCACCTAGATCTTCAGCACAGATTCTGTCAGACCTGGGCCCCGACAGTAAATCTCAGTAAGACAAAAATAATGATGTTCCAAAAAAGGTTCAGTTGCCAGGACCACAAATAAAAATTCCATCTAGACACCGTTGTCCTAGAGCACACAAAAAACTATACATACCTTGGCCTAAACATCAGCGCCACAGGTAACTTCCACAAAGCTGTGAACGATCTGAGAGACAAGCCAAGAAGGGCCTTCTATGCCATCAAAAGGAACATAAAATTCGACATACCAATTAGGATCTGGCTAAAAATACTTGAATCAGTTATAGAACCCATTGCCCTTTATGGTTGTGATGTCTGGGGTCCACTCACCAACCAATAATTCACAAAATGGGACAAACACCAAATTGAGACTCTGCATGCAGAATTCTGCAAAAATATCCTCAGTGTACAACATAAAACACCAAATAATGCATGCAGAGCAGAATTAGGCCGATACCCGCTAATGATCAAAATCCAGAAAAGAGCAGTTAAATTCTACAACCACCTAAAAGGAAGTGATTCCCAAACCTTCCATAACAAAGCCATCACCTACAGAGAGATAAACCTAGAGAAGAGTCCCCTAAGCAAGCTGGTCCTGGGGCTCTGTTCACAAACACCAACAGACCCCACAGAGCCCCAGGATAGCAAAACAATTAGACCCAAAAAAATCATGAGAAAACAAAAAGATAATTGCTTGACACATTGGAAAGAATTTACAAAAAAACAGAGCAAACTAGAATGCTATTTGGCCCTAAACAGAGAGTACACAGTGGCAGAATGACTGACCCAAAATTAAGGAAATCTTTGACTATGTACAGACTCAGTGAGCATAGCCTTGCTATTGAGAAAGGCCGCCGTAGGCAGACCTGGCTCTCAAGAGAAGACAGGTTATGTGCACTCTGCCCACAAAATGAGGTGGAAACTGAGCTGCACTTCCTAACTTCCTGCCAAATGTATGACCATATTAGCGACACATATTTCCCTCAGATTACACAGACACACAGACACACACACACTTGCAGGTGAGTCTTACCGTGGCCTCGTTGCACACAGTACACTTCACCACATGCTGATGCAGCTTGCCATCCAGGTTAATGAGAGACTGGCACACACGGCAGTTGATGATGGGTACCCCCCCTGGGTCGGGACTGGTGATGGCTGTGTAGGGGGGAGGTAGTTCAGCTGGAGGAAAGGGGACATAGACACACAGCACCTGCTTAATGATGTATGTTCAGTCCTAAAAGGTACATTAGATACACACGGCAAACTTCCCCAATGAAGAGAGTTGGAGACCATGGCCAAATGTTCTAAACACCTCTAGTACTAAAGACTGCTGGGATCCTGACCCTGCTCACATGAGCACCACCAGTATTCTCTCTAGATATCAACACAGGTTAATTCAATGGTTTGTTCATTTGTTCAGGCAATCGTTCTTTCATTCATTCACTCAGTCACTCACATGTGTTGTGATCCCCGACTGCACTAAAACAGTGACTGCCTTCCCATTGGTCAGATATGATCCATCACTCTACACGTTTCTATACAACCATAAAGACACACAGAGGTCTTTAAGAAAGGCGACACTTGACTCTGGCCACACTAGGAAGCAGTGAACAATTTATTGATCTTCCATAATCTGCCAGGAGTGTGTTTGAAATGTGATCGGTTGTGTTTTTCATTGATTAGTTCTACTACAGTTCAATGTCATGGCTACAATTTCTGTAGAAAGTGGACAAGACTTCTTCAGTCCATAGTGGAAGTGAAGACATTTAACAACGTGTCCCAGCAGCATAATACTATAGCTGACCCTATAAAACACATTTCACTGCACCTATCCGGTGTATGTGACAATAAAATATGTTATTTTTCAGATGCTAGACTATGTACGTTTAACCCCATTTAACCCTAATTCACTAAATTCCTGAAGGATTTCACTGCATCACAGTGCTAGCTGTGCCACTAGAGATCCTGGTTCGAATCCAGGCTCTGTCGTAGCCAGCCGCGACCGGGAGACCCATGGGGCGGCGTGCAATTGGCCCAGCGTCGTCCAGGGTAGGGGATGCTTCTACACCTGCATTACTAGCTGTTTGGGGTTTTAGGCTGGGTTTCTGTACAGCACTTCGAGATATTAGCTGATGTAAGAAGGGCTATATAAAATAAAATTGATTGATTGATTGATTGATTGATTGATTGATGTAGCTCAGTTGGTAGAGCATGGCGTTTGCAACACCAGGGTTGTGGGTTCGATTCCCACAGGGGGTATGAAAAAAATTAATAATGTATGCACTAACTGTAAGTCGCTCTGGATAAGAGCGTGTGCTAAATGACTAAAATGTAAATGTAATTATTAGAACTATTAATCACACACATTCCAGCGGCCATTGGCAGAGCAATTCTCTCTCTCTCTCTCTCTCTCTCTCTCTCTCTCTCTCTCTCTCTCTCTCTCTCTCTCTCTCTCTCTCTCTCTCTCTCTCTCTCTCTCTCTCTCTCTCTCTCTCTCTCTCTCTCTCTCTCTCTCTGTGTGTGTGTGTGTGTGTGACTAAGCACCCCAAAGAAAACAGTCTTGTTCAGAGTGGTGTAATACAACACATCAGGAGGGTTCTCATTGCACCACACAGGCTGAGTCCTAAATTGCATCCTAACTAGTGCACTACCTTGGACCAGAGCCCAGTGGTCAAAAGCAGTACACTATAAAAGGAATAGTGCACCATTTGGGACACTCTCCCCAGACACATGTAAGATGAGAGGGCCTTTTACAACCAGTCTACAGCTGGCTGGGAGTCTCATGGAGGGCAGCTAGCTGGCTGGGAGTCTCAGGGAGGGCAGCTAGCTGGCTGGGAGTCTCAGGGAGGGCAGCTAGCCGGCTGGGAGTCTCATGGAGGGCAGCTAGCTGGCTGGGAGTCTCAGTCTCATGGAGGGCAGCTAGCCGGCTGGGAGTCTCATGGAGGGCAGCTAGCCAGCTGGGAGTCTCAGTCTCATGGAGGGCAGCTAGCCGGCTGGGAGTCTCATGGAGGGCAGCTAGCCGGCTGGGAGTCTCATGGAGGGCAGCTAGCCAGCTGGGAGTCTCAGTCTCATGGAGGGCAGCTAGCCGGCTGGGAGTCTCATGGAGGGCAGCTAGCCGGCTGGGAGTCTCATGGAGGGCAGCTAGCTGGCTGGGAGTCTCAGTCTCATGGAGGGCAGCTAGCCGGCTGGGAGTCTCATGGAGGGCAGCTAGCTGGCTGGGAGTCTCATGGAGGGCAGCTAGCTGGCTGGGAGTCTCATGGAGGGCAGCTAGCCGGCTGGGAGTCTCATGGAGGGCAGCTAGCTGGCTGGAGTCTCAGTCTCATGGAGGGCAGCTAGCCGCTGGAGTCTCATGGAGGGCAGCTAGCTGGCTGGAGTCTCATGGAGGGCAGCTAGCTGGCTGGGAGTCTCATGGAGGCAGCTAGCCGGCTGGGAGTCTCATGGAGGGCAGCTAGCTGGCTGGGAGTCCTCAGGAGGTCAGCTAGCCGGATGGGAGTCTCATGGAGGGCAGCTAGCTGGCTGGGAGTCTCATGGAGGGCAGCTAGCTGGCTGGGAGTCTCATGGAGGGCAGCTAGCCGGCTGGGAGTCTCATGGAGGGCAGCTAGCTGGCTGGGAGTCTCAGTCTCATGGAGGGCAGCTAGCTGCCTGGGAGTCTCATGGAGGGCAGCTAGCTGGCTGGGAGTCTCATGGAGGGCAGCTAGCCGGCTGGGAGTCTCATGGAGGCACTAGCTGGCTGGGAGTCTCATGGAGGGGCAGCTAGCTGGCTGGAGTCCATGGAGGGCAGCTAGCTGGCTGGGAGTCTCATGGGAGGGCAGCTAGCCGGCTGGGAGTCTCATGGAGGGCAGCTAGCCGGCTGGGAGTCTCATGGAGGGGCAGCTAGCCGGCTGGGAGTCTCATGGAGGGCAGCTAGCTGGCTGGGAGTCTCAGTCTCATGGAGGGCAGCTAGCCGGCTGGAGTCCTCAGTCTCATGGAGGGCAGCTAGCCGGCTGGGAGTCTCATGGATGGCAGCTAGCTGGCTGGGAGTCTCATGGAGGGCAGCTAGCTGGCTGGGGAGTCTCAGTCTCATGGAGGGGCACTAGCCGGCTGGGAGTCTCATGGAGGGCAGCTAGCTGGCTGGGAGTCCTCATGGAGGGCAGCTAGCCGGCTGGGAGTCTCATGGAGGGCAGCTAGGGCTGGGAGCTAGAAGCTAGCGGCTGGGAGTCTCAGTCTCGTGGAGGGCAGCTAGCCGGCTGGGAGTCTCAGTCTCATGGAGGGCAGCTAGCCGTGCTGGGAGTCTCCATGGAGGGCAGCTAGCTGGCTGGGAGTCTCCAGTCTCATGGAGGGCAGCTAGCCGGCTGGGAGTCTCATGGAGGGCAGCTAGCTGGCTGGGAGTCTCATGGAGGGCAGCTAGCTGGCTGGGAGTCTCATGGAGGGCAGCTAGCTGGCTGGGAGTCTCATGGAGGGCAGCTAGCTGGCTGGGAGTCTCATGGAGGGCAGCTAGCTGGCTGGGAGTCTCATGGAGGGCAGCTAGCTGGCTGGGAGTCTCAGTCTCATGGAGGGCAGCTAGCCGGCTGGGAGTCTCATGGAGGGCAGCTAGCTGGCTGGGAGTCTCATGGAGGGCAGCTAGCTGGCTGGGAGTCTCAGTCTCATGGAGGGCAGCTAGCCGGCTGGGGAGTCTCATGGAGGGCAGCTAGCTGGCTGGGAGTCTCATGGAGGGCAGCTAGCTGGCTGGGAGTCTCATGGAGGGCAGCTAGCTGGCTGGGAGTCTCATGGAGGGCAGCTAGCTGGCTGGGAGTCTCAGTCTCATGGAGGGCGGATAGCTGGCTAGGAGTCTCATGGAGGCAGCTAGCTGGCTGGGAGTCTCATGAGGGCAGCTAGCTGGCTGGGAGTCTCAGTCTCATGGAGGCAGCTAGCCGCTGGGAGTCTCAGTCTCATGGAGGGCAGCTAGCTGGCTGGGAGTCTCAGTCTCATGGAGGGCAGCTAGCCGGCTGGGAGTCTCATGGAGGGCAGCTAGCTGGCTGGGAGTCTCAGTCTCATGGAGGGCAGCTAGCCGGCTGGAGTCTCATGGAGGGCAGCTAGCTGGCTGGGAGTCTCAGTCTCATGGAGGGCAGCTAGCCAGCTGTGAGTCTCAGTCTCATGGAGGGCAGCTAGCCGCCTGGGAGTCTCAGTCTCATGGAGGGCAGCTAGCTGGCTGGGAGTCCTCATGGAGGGCCAGCTAGCCGCTGGAGTCTCATGAGGGCAGCTAGCTGCTGGGGTCTCATGGAGGCAGCTAGCTGGCTGGAGTCTCATGGAGGGCAGCTAGCTGGCTGGAGTCTCATGAGGGCAGCTAGCCGGCTGGGAGTCTCATGGAGGGCAGCTAGCCGGCTGGGAGTCTCATGGAGGGCAGCTAGCTGGCTGGGATCTCAGTCTCATGGAGGGCAGCTAGCCGGTGGGAGTCTCAGTCTCATGGAGGGCAGCTACCGGCTGGGGTCTCATGGAGGGCAGCTAGCTGGCTGGGAGTCTCATGGAGGCAGCTAGCTGGCTGGGAGTCTCAGTCTCATGGAGGGCAGCTAGCCGGCTGGGAGTCTCATGGAGGGCAGCTAGCTGGCTGGGAGTCTCATGGAGGGCAGCTAGCTGGCTGGGAGTCTCATGGAGGGCAGCTAGCTGGCTGGGAGTCTCATGGAGGGCAGCTAGCTGGCTGGGAGTCTCATGGAGGGCAGCTAGCTGGCTGGGAGTCTCAGTCTCATGGAGGCAGCTAGCCGGCTGGAGTCTCATGGAGGGCAGCTAGCTGCTGGGAGTCTCATGAGGGCAGCTAGCTGGCTGGGAGTCTCAATCTCATGGTGGGCAGCTAGCCGGCTGGGAGTCTCATGGAGGGCAGCTAGCTGGCTGGGAGTCTCATGGAGGGCAGCTAGCTGGCTGGGAGTCTCATGGAGGGCAGCTAGCTGGCTGGGAGTCTCATGGAGGGCAGCTAGCTGGCTGGGAGTCTCAGTCTCATGGAGGGCAGCTAGCTGGCTAGGAGTCTCATGGAGGGCAGCTAGCTGGCTGGGAGTCTCACGGAGGGCAGCTAGCTGGCTGGGAGTCTCAGTCTCATGGAGGGCAGCTAGCCGGCTGGGAGTCTCAGTCTCATGGAGGGCAGCTAGCTGGCTGGGAGTCTCAGTCTCATGGAGGGCAGCTAGCCGGCTGGGAGTCTCATGGAGGGCAGCTAGCTGGCTGGGAGTCTCA